TGACAGTCTTCAGTAAGTAATTAAGGCATTGTAAATGAAGAAAGAAATACTTTTGCACCAATAAAGAGCCTGATTACTTGTTTGTGCTGAGTACTATAGAAGGGTTGATTGAATGTTTCAAAAGCTAGTCCTTGTCTCTTGAGCTCTTAGCTAGATAATCACCCTTCTTTCACATTGATATTAAATTGATGGAAATAGGACAAGGAGTGATATGAAATAAGGTGCTTAATCTTTTTGGTGGATGACAATTGTGGTGCCTAATTGAGAGAGAGAATTGTGTTCTCACTAGTTTGAGTGGGCTTTTTTTTTTTCTTTTTCTGGTTTTTAGCCTTCTAGTTAATTGGCTTATAGTAGCTTTGAATGGTCGTCTGACGTGGAGTTGATGCTGACGTTGATGCTGAATATAAACTCCACGTCATCTTTTGCATGATGTGTCATTTTTCCTCTTCCAGCATCATGGTCCCAGACTCCCAATCCAACAATACCTTTTTATTTTGGCTGGGCACGTCAATCGCGGCACCTAAAAGTTTCCATTTATTGACGAAAGTACCCCTGTAGATTAAAATATTATATTCCTTTTGTCGCCACATCTTTCCTACTATATTCTATTCTGATTTTTCAAAAAAAGAAAAAAAAAAAAATCGTTATTCTATTTTCCTGCCGTAGGATGTGGTTGGTAGAGTTTTTTAGACTTTCTTTAATAAATAAAAGTTGAACAAAATGGTTTTAAAATGTTATATTACAAATCATATATATAATTTACATTTTTTTTTTTTACGGGTGTCCATATAATTGGATAAACTTAACTAATCCCTATTATCTATCTCAAATTATATAGGTTGGGTTTGGATTATTCTCTAAAGATGATCGTAAAATAAAGATGAACAACAAAACAACTCAACTCGAACCATTCGAAAAGAGGGATAGAAGTACTTAACTTTCCCATAGTCATCAATCTAGCCGATCCAATAAATTGGTCCAATTTTTTTTCAAATGCCCTTGATTTTTTTCCCACAAAAATCTGAAATTTCAATGCTGGCCAGCTCTCTCGCTCTCTCTTTCTAAGCTCTTTCACACCAATTTCATTTTGATTTCTTCAGTCGCCATTCTATTTGCAGCCACGAATCCGTTCCATTTCGGCCTCTGAATTATTCTCTTAATTTTCCGATTCCATTCCAGAAGAACCAAATCACTCCTTTTTCACCCTAAATTCCATCGTTTTAAGCTCTTCTGGTCCCAGAATCATTCTCCGTGATAAACCCAATGGCTTCACTCTCATCTTTCATCGGTTGTTCCTGTCCTTCCGGCGTGTTTCGAGCTCCTATCAATGGTGGAAAAGTTCGCGCCTGTCTTAGCGTAGATGTACAGGGACCCAGTTCGACAAAGCTTCAAACAGGCAAACTTGGTTGCTCGAGCGAGGAGGTGATCGAGTCGGAACGGAAGCTTTTCGTCGGAACCTATGCTCGAGCACCGGTGGTTTTCTCGAGCGGTAAAGGATGTAAACTATATGATCTCGAAGGGCGAGAGTATTTGGATATGGCGGCCGGAATCGCCGTCAATGCCCTAGGTCATGGTGATCCCGATTGGCTGCAAGCGGTAACGGAGCAGGCAAATACAGTCACTCATGTTAGCAACCTCTTCCATTCAATCCCTCAGGTAAAAATAAACCCTAAAATTATCATACCTGTAAATATTGAAAGTGGAATAGCTTCTTAGTTCATTCCCCTGTTTCATTGCTGTAGGTGGAACTTGCAAAACGCCTTGTGGCTAAATCATTTGCGGATCGTGTGTTTTTCACTAACTCTGGCACGGAAGCTAATGAAGCTGCCATTAAGTTTGCTAGAAAGTTTCAGAGATTTTCTCATCCTGATGCTAAAGAGTCACCCCCTTTTGAGTTCATTGCGTTTTCCAATTGTTTTCATGGCAGGACAATGGGAGCTCTTGCTTTAACGAGTAAAGAGCATTACAGGGCTCCTTTTGAGCCTGTTATGCCTGGTGTTACTTTCTTGCCATATGGTGATATTGAGGCTGCTAAGAACTTGATTCTTAAAGGGAAAATTGCTGCCGTTTTTGTGGAACCTATACAGGGTGAAGGTGGCATTTTCAGTGCTACTAAGGAGTTCTTGCTTTCCTTGAGAAATGCTTGTGATGAGGCTGGAACTCTTCTGGTTTTCGATGAGGTACAAACGATTCTCCCCTTGTCGATTAATAGAGAAATATAGATTCGTTAATTACTGTTTTGTTTATATAACAATGATTGTCCAAGTTGAATATACCTTGTAAGTGTCAATGCCCATCGTCAGCAGATATTGTCTTTAGGCTTTTCCTGTTGAGCTTCCCCTTAAGATTTTAAAACATGTCTGTTAGGGAGAGGTTTCCACACATTTATAAAGAATGTTTCATTCTCCTCCGCAAATGATGTGGACAATCCACCCCTTCGGAGCCCAGCGTCCTTGTTGGCACTTGTTCCCTTTTTCGATGTGGGACCTCCCAATCCACTCTTTGGGGCTCAGCCTCTTCGTTCCTCGCTGGTACATCGCTCGGTGTTTGGCTTTGATACCATTTGTAACGGTGCAAGTCCACCAAGAGCATATATTGTTCTCTTTGGGCTTTCTCTCAAGGTTTTAAAATGCCTCTACTTGAGAGAGGTTTCTATACCCTTATAAAGAATGTTTTGTTATCCTCTCCAACCAATATGAGATCTCACATACCTTGACTAATCTTATCGAACAATTGTTTGATTCAACTGGCTGTAGTGTTGCATCATCCGAGTTACTTTAATTGTGAATGAACTGACGCCTGATAAGCTTTACTTGATCAATTGGGAGAAAACTAAGAAGCAATTTTTTTATGTATAGATTCAATGTGGGTTGGGTAGAAGTGGTCATCTCTGGGCACATGAAGCTTATGGTGTATATCCAGATATAATGACCCTTGCCAAGCCTCTAGCTGGAGGTCTTCCCGTTGGAGCCGTACTAGTGACCGAAAGAATCGCTGCTGCAATAAACTACGGTGACCACGGAAGTACTTTTGCAGGCTCACCACTCGTCTGCAATGCTGCAGTTGCAGTTGTAGACAAGATCTCAGATCCCGAGTTCTTGCTTAGCGTCTCCAGGAAAGGTGAGTACATGAAAAATTTGCTAAAACGAAAGCTGGGTGAAAACCCACATGTTAAAGAAGTTAGAGGGCAAGGGCTTATTATTGGGATAGAACTGGATGTGTCTGCTAGCCCTCTAGTAGATGCTTGTCGAAACTCGGGTTTGTTAATTTTAACAGCAGGCCAGGGGAATGTGGTTCGGCTTGTGCCACCATTGATCATCACAGAGCAAGAACTAGAGCATGCTGCTAATGTTCTGCTTGACTGCATCCCTGTGCTTGGCTGATCTAAAGCTCATCTGCTAGTTTTTCAACAAGACATTGCCATGAAGTCTTGTATGTACTGTTATAGTTTTTGAAATGAACTTGAATTTTGCTATTTGGTTTGTCTGAAGTGTTGTGTATGATAATCCCTTTGAAATGATTAGCTTTAGTTTTAAAGTCTACTCTGATCTAGAGGACGTCTAAATAGATTAATCCTCTGTACATTCTAGGGGTACAAACTCGAACAATTTTGTTAATTTGTTTGATTAACCGTATAGAACCAACGGTTTAGTTACACCTTGATGGTATTGTCTAGAATCGAACTCAGAAACTCATCGATGATATTGTCTACTTTCATCTTGATTACTGTGATATATTTTAGCTTTGACTTCTCATAGGATTTAAGAGAGAGAGAGACAAACACATGATGGGTTTATAAGATGTTTCTTTATAGGTAATGTGATGTGTCACGGTCATGCTTGTTTAAGGCGTGTTGCTCATGGTCGGATGCTTGGTGGGTGTCACGAGTACTTGTCCAAGACATATTGCCTATGGTTGCATATTCAATGGATATGTCACGGTCATACTTGTTTAGAGCTTGTTGCCCATGGTCGCATGTTCAATGAGTGTGTTACAGTTATGCTTGTTCAAGGTATATTGTTCATGGTCGCATATCTGGTGGGTGTATTAGGATCATGCTTGTCTAAGTCGTGTTGTCCATGATTGCATGCCTGGTGGGTGTATCACAGTCGTGCTTGTCTAAGGCGTGTTACACATGATTGCATGTTTGGTGGGTGTCACGGTCATGCTTGTCCAAGACATGTTGTCTATGACTATAAGCGCAGTGTCATCGTGATACCGAGCACCTTTTCATACTCAATTAAATCTCCACATAAATTATAATTTTAATTAATTAAACAAATGAATTTCATTAATACCGAAAAGAGGGCCTTAAATACACCACAAATTAAGCCAAGCAGTCTCACAATCTTTTCCCTCCACGCCACCATGACGCTATTTCCTCCATCTATTGAATCCAACGGCCACAAATCCTCCCTCGAGATCGCCTCCGGCTCCTAGTGACCTCCCTCTTCATAATTCCCATAAAGCCCTCCTAATCCCTCTTTCTTTCTTCAAACTCTTGTCCCCCCTCACCCCCAAACGACGTCGTTCCGACGTAAGGATAGATTGATAATTTTAGCTTTTATTTATTTTAAAATTTAAATTCTATTGTTTATATGGATAATAGATTTTAAATTTAAATAGAAGCACAATAGGAATGAAACTTAGATTTTATTTAAAATTATTCTTTTTCCAAAATTTTAAACAAAAAAAAAAAAGGACATATACAAATGATTTTAATATAAAACTATTAGTTTTAGAGTTTGATATTAAAATAAATAAATAAATCCAAGAAATTAAAAGGGCATTTATGTCATTTGCCGGCATATATCCCTCCTGCAAAATCAAAGACAAGTATATAAATGCGAGAGATTGCGGTCTCATCGACATTGATATGACTTTATAAATAATTTATTTATTTTATATTTTCCTTTAAAACCCTTTTCAATTTATTTAATTATTTATTTTCCAATATAAAACCCCCCACTATTCCCCTGCACTCCGTCACCACCTCCGCCATGATTAACATCCCTTCAATTCCCTCTCTTCACGACGCCGTCTCCGAACCCCAGCTGGACGGAATCGCCGCCGTCGTGGGATGGAAAGTTCTCCTCGGCGACATAGTTACAGCCTCAGCCACCGGGTTGAAGACGGCGGCAACGGCAACAGGGCAGATGAGTTACAGAGGAGTACGGAAGCGGCCATGGGGAAGATGGTCTGCAGAGATACGAGACCAAATAGGACGATGCCGGCACTGGCTGGGGACATTCGACACAGCGGAGGAAGCGGCGCGTGCATACGACGCAGCAGCGAGGCGATTGAGAGGATCGAAAGCGAGAACCAACTTCGAAATGCCGTTGATTGTACCGGTGGAATCCACGTCATCATTACCCATATCATCGAAAAAGAATCGCAACGGTAATCTGTTGAAGAAGAATGGCCGGAAATGCTCGGTGGTTACGTCGGTGGCGCATTTGTTCCGTCCGGATTGAAGCTTGATTTGATCAACGCCGATTAAAAAAAGGGTTTCAATCGACATAAGACACGAACAAAATAAAAAAATTGTCCACTTTGAGTATAAGCTTTCGTAACTTTACTTTAGGCTTCTCCAAAAAATCTCATTTAGATGGATAGTGTATTCTTAGATTATAAATTCATGGTCATTCCCTAAATTAATCCATGTAAGACACTTGCATCTAACAATTTATAGGATAGTACTTTAGATTTTAAATTCAGGTGATTTATTTGTTGAGTCATACCGATAAGTGGCTAGCATGCTAGACTTAGACTCGGTTTTGACTCATGTGGGTCTTCTCTCCCTCCTTACCTAATTTTGAATTTAGGTTTAAAATTTAATAATAATTTATCGAACATGCCTAAGACATGATACCCAGCCAACAATCAAATTATAAAGGAGTTCTATGGTGTGGTGGCTAGCATTCTAAACTTTGAATACCTCTCCGTTGACATAAAACATGACTACATACAAAAATCTAAATTATCAATTGGTTCTATGGTGTAGTGGTTAGCACACTAGACTTTGAATCTAGTGACCTGAGTTCAACTCTCGGTAGATATTCCAAATATACCCTTTAAAGGGTGAGGATGTTAATGTTATTTTTAAATTCTAATGCGTATTTTTTTTAAACGATAAGGATAGTTTTAAATTTTAAAAAAATGAAAAATACTAAACATATTTATTTATCTTTTAATTTTTTTTTAAAATTGAAGAGTATTATTGAAATTTTTAGTGTATTTTTTACGTACTTTTATTAATTTAGCCTAAAAAATATTTACACAAAATTTAGGCCCTAATTCATGTAAATGTTTATTTACTCATATACATTAGTTGTTGGGACTATTTTCTAATATATTTTTTTAAAAAAATTTAAAATTTCAAGAATAAAAAAATTAAAGTCTAGAAGTTATGTTATTTATATTTATATTTTTATATTTGGTAAAATATCGAATTGAAAATAAAAGAAAGTGACGTCCGGCTACTAACCACAATTTGAAATGGGCCGACATGACTTGGTTTTCGGCCCAAATTGACCCAACAGATAACTAGAGGCCCATCTTTGGCTAAAAAAAATAATAAATAATGAAAAAGTTTAATTTTTATAAATTTTGTTTTTTTAAAAAATATTTCAAAATTTTTATTTAAAAATGATTTGTTCCGAGGGATATAAAACGAAGATCGTGGGATTAACGGTGGTGCCCTCGAAGCCTGGTGGTTTCTATTTCTTGGAAGAATGATCCATTATATATTTCTTCGCTGATTTTCTCTCGAAATTGTTCTTCCAATTTGAAGGAATCGTGAAGGTAAAGGTGAACATGGAAGAGAATTTCCCATATTTACCGGAAGAATGTTGGGAAATGATCTTCAGTTTCCTCCTCCATCGCCGTCACAGCCACCATTTCGAATCCCTATCCCTGGTCTGCAAACAATTCTTATCCATCACCAACACGCTTCGCACTACCCTCAGAATCTCCGAATTAACTATTCCGGCGATGTCCCGGATATTCTCCAGATTCCGGCAACTCAAACGGATTGATCTTAGAAATTTCAAGGGCGTCCCTGATGACCTGCTCATTAGGATTGCGGGATCTGGATTGGATATTGAATCGCTCGATATCTCTAATCAGGCGAGATTTCCGGTTTCTGGTATGAACTTCCTTGGCTCGACAATGCGGAATTTGAGGGTTTTGCTGTGCTCGAAGCTTGGGGTTCTGACTGACGACGATCTGGTTGAAATCGCTAAGTTGTTTCCGAATCTTGAAGATCTCGATATTAGCTATCCTATGAATCCTCTCGCTCCCAGTTGCTATAGTGATATTACGGATTCGGGGATTTTCGCTTTGATTCAGGGCCTGCCGCGACTTCACAAGGTAAATCTCTCAGGAAATTCTCTCGTTACTGATAAGTCGCTTATAGATTTATCAACGAAATGTGTATGGCTTAGGGAAATAGCAATTTGTGATTGCGATTTGATCACTCAATCAGGTATTGCCAAGGTCCTGCGCCAGAACCCTAATTTGAGTTCACTCTCCGCAAATTGGATAGGGATTCCCTCTCTAAATTCAGATCTTATCGATTCGTTTCTTTCTGTGAGAAATCTAAATTCTATTGATCTTTCGGAGTCAATTATTTCGGATCAGTTGCTGAATTCATTAGCAAATTCATGTTCGCCATTGAAGAAACTCGTTCTTTCCCATTGCCATGACTTCTCGTTTTCTGGAATTTCGTTTCTATTGAATAAAAATCCTCTGATTGAATGGTTGGATCTTGAAGCCGCCAATTTCTTGACTGATGAATCTGTGGAGGAGTTATCAGAATTTCTTCCGCTAGTGAAATTGATAAACCTCAGCAATTGCTCAAATCTGTCATATTCATCCTTGTTCATCCTGGCAAGAAACTGCCCAGCTTTAACTGATATAAAAATGAAGATTGTAAATCTCCAGAAAGAAGAAGGCCACCCAACAGATTTTGTCAACCCTAAACTTATATCTCTGGATCTATCTGGGAACAAGAATTTGTGCAATGATGGTGTGGGAAAAATTGCTTCCAATTTTCCAAATTTGGAGCTGTTGAAACTGAACCACTGTGCAGCAATCACGGATGAAGGCATTGGAGATGTCTTAACGGCATGCCCCAAGATAAGGCATTTGGAAGTGAATTATTGTACGGGAATCAAGAATTTGGTGATGAACTGTGAACTTCCATCAATGGAGGCACTGAAATTACAGAGATTAGCTATTGAGGATTCAACATTAGCAATGATTGGAAGCAGATGCCCTTCTTTGATCCATTTAGACTTGTTGGGATGCTTCAAAGTGACGGCTGAAGGGGTGAAGGAGGTGGTGCGAAATTGCAGAGGATTGAGGGAAATTAGCTTGTGGGATTGCTGTGAAATTGATTGCAGTGTTATTCCATGGATGGTTTTCTCGAGGCGATCTCTGAGGGAGATAATTCCTCCCAATTTTATCTTTCCTACTGCTAATCAAAGGAGCCTTTTCTTGCGCCATGGATGTCTGGTCCACGCTGATGGGTTTTCGTTGGATCTAAAGGGCCTCTCGTAGAATTGTCTCTGTAAGCTTTATTACTTCCTGCTCTAGCTCAAGTTCCCGTTCATTTTTTTCTTTCGAGTTCAACCGTTGTTGGTCATTCAAATCTCTAGTGTCGTAGATTATTACTTCCTTCCCGCTATAAGTTCTTGTTCATCATCATTCAAATCTCTAATCTCGACTGCCATAGGTCAAGTCCTCTCTTAGAATATTCTTGGGTCAGTTTATTACTTCCTTACCACTATAAGTTCTCTCGTTCATCATTCCAATCTCTAATCTCAGTGCCATAGCTCAAGTCCTCTCTTATAATAGTCTTGGGTCAGTTTATTACTTCCTTACCGCTATAAGTTCTCGTTCACCACTCAAATCTCTAATCTCGAGTGCCATAGCTCAAGTCCTCTCTTAGAATAGTGGTGGGAGTTTATTACTTTCTTCCCGCTACAAGTTCTTGTTCATCATTCAAATCTCTAATCTCGCATGCCCTAGCTCAAGTCCTCTCATAGAATAGTCTTGGTTCCCGCCATAAATTCTCCGTTCATTTTTTCTTTCAAGCTCAACAACAATAGCAATTGAAAGAGAGAGATTCAATCGTCTGATCTCAGTTTTCATTAGAGCAGTTCAACATCAATTGTAGAGTAGATTTGAATATCGGATCTCTGACAATTTCTCTAAATCATGGATTGTGAATAATGATTTGTATGCTTATTATATTTATACTCCATTCAAATTTATCTTTTGCAAATGAAAAAATGTTTTTAAAATAGCTAAAATTATTTTTATAACAACTTTAAATTTTAAATTAAAATTAGAATTACTCATTAATTATTGATTTCTGTAAGTGGTTTTGAAATAAATTAATTCTTTAAGTATAAATGGAAAATGGAGGAATAATTATTATTGATATTCCTCATTAATATCATTCACTCTCACTCGAGAAATAAAATCAAAGGCCCTAATAATTAGGAATTAAATGAAAAACCCCAAATTTAAAAAGAAAAATAATGGCAATTGAATTCACATTCGAGAGTGGAAGCAGGCGTAGGATTGAAGCAAGGGTAGGATAGTAAATTAAGACAAAAGTGAAGGACAGGGGTGAGTCGCACGTGTAAAGAAGATTGAAGTCACGCGCTTCGTACGTGACGAAGTGGTAACACCCACACCACCCGCCACATTTATATGCCCCCTTCACCGCTCCCATATATATATATTTTCCCTTCGAAAATTTGGAAATAAAAGACTTGACTTAAATTTGTGGTTTGAAAATAGAATATATATAAAAAAAAAAAAAAAAAAAAAAAAAAAAAAAAAAAAAAAAAAAAAAAAAAAGGAA